AGGCCAGACGGGAATGGCAAGAAATATTCAAGGTGATGAATAGCAAGAATCTACAGCCAAAAATACTCTACCCAGCAAAGCTATCACTAAGAATCGAAGGCCAGATAAAGAGCTTCACTAATAATAATAAAAAAAAAAGCTAAAGGAGTTCATCACCGCCAAACCAGAATTATATGAATTGCTGAAGGGGGTTCTCTAGGAAGAGAAAGAAAATAAAGATAAAAATTATGAACAACAAATACGTAACTATCAACAAGTGAATCTAAAAAACCAAGGGAATTAAAAAAAATCTGATGAACAATATTAATTGGTGAATATAATAGAATTAGAGGTATGGAAGGGGAGTGAACTAACGATTCTCAGGGAAAGGGGAGTGGGTGGTGTGGGAAGAGACTGAACAAAAACTGTGCACCTATGGATGAGGACAATGGGGGTGGGGAAAGGGCAGAGAATGGAAACCTGGTGGAGGGGAGCAATGGAGGGGGGGGGAATAAGGAACATTTGTAATAATATGAACAATAAAGATTTTTTTTTTTTTAAAGACTCAACAAACGGGAATTTTTTTAAAAAGATGGCAAAGGCAATCCTCAGTTTACATATTAGAACCATTTATGGACTGCTTATTTTGACTGGGCTTTCTTCATGCCTTGATTGAAAATTACTGGAGCTCAGTTAATGCTTTCACTCAACACATTTTAAAAATGTGGCACCTGGCCGGGACCGGTTTGGCTCAATGGATAGAGCGTTGGCTTGGGAACTGAAGGGTCCCAGGTTCGATTCCGGTCAAGGGCATGTACCTTGGTTGCGGGCATATCCCTGGTGGGGGGTGTGCAAGAGGCGGCTGATTGATGACTCTCTCTCATCGATGTTTCTAACTCTCTATCTCCCTTCCTCTCTGTACAAAATCAATAAAATATATTTTTTTAAAAATGTGGCACCTGGATTTGAATTTCAGCTCTGCCTCTCTCTACTAGCTGTGTGATACTGGGCAAGTTACTTAGCCCCTCAGAGCCTTTCTGATCAGAAAATGAGATGAGGCTTGTAAAGTACTGGCAGCACACCTGGGCACACAGGAACAGTTAAAAATACCACTGATGTACCTGATCAACACTTTGTTAAGGGCACCATTCAGAATCTCAAAATTTAAGGCTTTTCTTATACAACAATCAAGTGTGAAATGTGGTCTTGATTGAATCCTGCTTGAACAGACAAATTCTAAGAGACACATAGAAGCAAAGAAACCTGAATGTGAACTGATACTAGAAAATATTAGGAAATTATTAATTATTAGGTAAGTTAATGGTATTTTTGAAAATACTTTTGTAAAGATTCATATTAAAATGTCAAAATGTCATAATTTCCTTTAAAAATATTTCAGAATACAAATGCTTATTATACAGTTCACTTTTCTGTGCATTTGAAATTTTTTATATTATAAAATTCCAACAAAGTGCTTTTCTAAAAAAAAGAACCTCAAGCATGCCATTTTTAAAAATAAATAAATCTCTATTCTGAAGCAAAAACAAATGTCTAGAACTGTGAATTATCCCTGCTTTAAGATATTAAGTACAGTTCCACTTTTTTTCAAAGCCATTATTTCATCCACTGTTTCTCAAAGGAACACAGGATAGCAGTGGAATCTAGTACCTCCCACTGTCTATTACCCACATCAGGACCTCATGACCCCTCCATGTTCTGCCCTCAGCACTTTAACAGTTCTCCACACCACTGTCCTTCCTGTCTTTCCATCTGCCCATTCCTCGAAAAGCTCTTTCCATCAACTCCAGCTCTGCCTTCTCTAACTCTAACCTCCAAGAATATATAAAAACTAGAGGCCCAGTGCACGAAATTCGTGCATTGGGGGGGGGGGGTGTCCCTCAGCCCAGGCTGCACCGTCTACAATCTGGGACTCCTTGAGGGATGTCCGACTGCCCGTTTAGGGATCTGGCCTAAACAGGCAGTCAGACATACCTCTCACAAACCAGGACTGCCAGTTCCCAACTGCTTGCCTTCCTGATTGCCCAAACCACTTCTGCCTGCCAGCCTTATAAACCCCCTAACCACTCCCCTGCCAGCCTGAGTGATGCCTAACTGCTCCTCTGCCAGCCTGTTTGCCCCTAACTCCCCTGTAGACCTGCTCCCCCGCAAGCCTGGTCACCCCCAACTTCCCTCATCTGCCTGCCAGGTGACCCCTAACTGCCCTCCACTGCAGGCTTGATCACCCCCAACTGCCCTCCCTTGCAGGCCTGGTCCCTCTCAACTGTCCTCCCATGCTGGCCTGATCGCCAACAGCTGACCTCCCTTGCAAACCTGGTCCCTCCCAACTGGCCTCCCCTGCTGGCCATCTTGTGTCCACATGGGGGCAGCCATCTTGCGTGTTGGAATGATGGTCAATTTGCATATTACTCTTTTATTATATAGAATAGGGGCCTGGTGTATGGTGGGGGCCAGCTGGTTTGCCCTGAAGGGTGTCCCGGATCAGGTTGGGGGTTCCCTTGGGGTGTGGGGCCTCTGGTGGTTTGTAGGCTGGTCACACACACCCCCCCCCTCCCGCAGAGGCCCTGGTATCTGGGGTTTATTTATCTTCTATAATTGAAACTTTGTAGCCTTGAGTGGAGGCCTGGGCCTGCCAGGGTGTGCAGAAAGCGTAGCTTCCTCCATTGCTGGGGAAACCCAATCTTCCTGCTCACTCCGTGGTTGCAGCCATCTTGGTTGGGTTAATTTGCATACTCGCTCCTGATTGGCTGTGGGGCATGGCTTGTGATGTAGAGGAGTGGTTATTAATTTGCATATTACTCTTATATTAGATAGGATTATACATTTGACTGTTGTTCTTTACTGACCAAATTCATACCTGTCCTGATGAACTGGATGCATGACTCGTCACTATACTGTAAGCTGCTTGGCAGGGTCACTTCTTTTATTCTTAAAGTCTCCTACTGAACAATGTACACTGCTCTAAATAGTGCACAAATCTGTAAATACTTCCTGATGACTGTTTACACCTGATCCCATTCCTTAGGAGCCTGAGAAGCAGAGCTGATTCAACTTTAGCCAGAACTGCTCCCAGATGTTCACATACATGCTTTATGAATAGTATTTTACTTAAAGTAAGAAAAAAAGGGAAGCTCCAATTTCTCTTTGGGATCTAAGTTCTCAATGTATTATAGCCAAAAGTCTCATCAACAACAATAAGAACCTTATTCTGTGGTTTTATAAGTACTGCTTCTATATGACCCTGCACCGTTCATGAAAAAAAAAAAATTTAGGTAACATACCATGAGTTCATCATCCTTAACAAATATTTCAATAGCCTCACCACAGCTCCGCCATTCCAAAGGAGCAGTATGCTGGGACCTCAATTAAGGCTGTTAAGTAATTCATTCTGACAGTGCACCCACAAACACACCAGGGCCAGGGCAAAGAGAGTTGGTTAAAAGCATCAGTCCCTAAAGCCCAAAAAGAAAACAAAACAACTAACAGGTTTATGACTAAGAGGAGTACAGGGCCCTGGCCAGGAATGCCAGCCCTCTTCTATAACTACAATTATGGCTGAGCCAAGTAGTTCGATATTGGGTAAAGGGGCTTCGATTATAGAAAACAGTAGAGCAACTAACTGGTTTTGCCTCCTCCAATTCTCACCTACCCATTAAATTCAACTACTTCAAGTTTCTGTTCTACCAAGGTATTTTAGAACAGTCATGATCTGATGGATTAAAATTAAGACAGACAAATCTGGAGCAACAGGAACATAGAGGAAAGTCTTTTAAGTGTTAAGATGTGAAGTCTTTCCTCAAATACAGGCAATTTACTGGTTTATCAATTTACTTCTCTAATTTCCTGGAGAACTAACATGACTACACTGAACCCTTTGTGTCTATACAACCAACCAATATATTAACCCTTTGCTACACTATTGCTAATTGAAGTTCCTTTTACCAGACCATGTGACAAAAGAGGATTCACATCACCAGGTTTCTTTTCTTAATCTAGACCATATTTTAATAAAGCATTGGTCAGAAAAATACCATTCTTACAACAATGCAACTTATCCCTCAAATAAGCATTAATTTTATTTTTAAATTTTTGAGGGTAAATTTTGAGACTTAACAGTTATATGATTATATAGATGGGATGCTGGGCCTAACATGCAGCATTATTAATCAGAAGAATGCACAGGAATACTCACAGGCCCCAATACATGAACCACCTACAACAGTGAACTCTTAGCATAGGGCTTTATTCAACCAACCAAAACCAACAACCAGGAACCATCATCACCTTAGCAGGGTGTGGAAGACATTGTCAATCAACTAGCATAAGGAAAAACAGATCAAGAAATCAAACACCTAGTAGAGTGTCTCAGAACAATCAATCATACATTTAAAATCATGGTTAAACAATTCTCTCTTATTCCCCACACATGAAAAGTCAAAATATCACTTGGGCCACTCTGAGCTGTGGGTGAGGGAGTAGATGGGACACATAGACTGAAAAGACATCAATAGGAAGACATGCAAACAAGGTAAATAAAGTAAAAGCCCAAGAGTAGTTAGGATAAATAATTGAGCTTGCCTTTTTCCTCAGAAAACAAACAAAAACAAGAATCCCACCCAAACCCAAAAAAATCAAAGTAGGAACCAATTCCAAAGGTGTGTTGTTGTTGCTCTAAGCTCAATATACATTAAAAATGGAAGCATGGCTGGCGATATTTTGACTTTCTTTTCTTAAAATGTAAAGGTAAAGAACTTTGTTCTTTCAACACCCAAACCAGAGCAGAGAGACAGTAGTAAATTATAAATGTGGATGAAGTAATATCCACAGGACATGAAGATGGGGGAGGGGGGAGGGGAGAAGGGGTAGGTTTTGTGTTGTTGCTGTTGGCAGGAGAGCTAAGCAGTCTTAAAGAACATTCTAGGATTCAAGGTTTGCCATGAAGGGGTATCACAGATCCCAAGGCCCACCACCTACCCCTTCTCCTCTTCTCCAAGGGCACCTACCTTACTGTAAGTCACTACTGATAAGTTGTTTGCGTGACTGCTGGGGGACAGATTTACAGAGTTCTGTGAGAGTCTATTCTCATCTTGCTCGGTTTGGTCAGGAGCAGGAGCCCATGTGTTTTTGCTGATTGAGTCGAACTCGGAACCCCCAGGGTCTTTTAAGTTGTTTTCATCTGATTGTCGGTTCTTTTGGGGAGAGGCAAACGGGTTGAAGTTTCCTTCTACCTTGCGATGTGGCTGTGTGTTGAACTCCGTTTCGAAAGATGACAGCTGCTGCGTTACTCCTAAAAGTCCACCCACCTCCACACTGAGAATCACCCAGATGACGTCTGAAACAAGAAAACAACTCATGTCAATGCCAAATACACCCTCTTACGGCCCAAAGCAGCTACCACCAAGAACCTCAACCACCACCCAAATCATAGAGAGAAGTGTTCTTCTATATGTTAGTTTAGAAGCTTGCTCACAAAATAGTCCAATACATTTGCATTGCATAAAGTTCTACATTTTTTGTAATGTCAAGTCAAGCTTTGGAACAAATTCAGTAGAGGTTTATGAGGACCCTGAAATTATTTGTAAAAAGGTTACTAGTTGATTCTGATGCACAGCCACCTTTGGATATCGTTACTCCAGAGGACAATTATCAATAGAAACCAAAATCTATTTTTCTAGAATTACAAGTTCTTAGTGGTTTTTGCTTATTTTACACGTGTTTAACTCAGAAGGCTCAGGGCATGCATAATTCCTGAATTAAAAAATGCTTATTTTACTAAAATTGGAAATTATAGATTGTCCCACCACCACGGCAATTTAGAGACCATACAGTTCAAGCTAGGTCAACTGAGAGTGAAAGAGGGAACTAGTAATAATTGCACCAGTATATATAAGTATAAATCTGGCATATTAGGACAGATGTCACCCTGGCTATTCTGCAATATATCTGAGCAAAAGATATATTGAGCAAACATTTTAATATGTCTCAGACTTTCTAAAATAATTTAACACCAACATTACCTTTCTGTCAGATAGGGAAACCTTACTACCTTACTGAAACCGTAAGAGGTATGTTTTAAAAAGATGCACCACAGAACTTTTATCCCAATACAGTTTTTTATTTCCTCAACTACCAAAGGTAAGGGCTGAAAAGAATGAAACAGGAAAGTGGCAGTTTCCTCTATGTTCGAGAACAGTGGTATCGAGTTTACTGATGGAAGATTTTAAAAGGCAAGCAGCAGAAAGGCCAAGAAGCATTTCAGTGTGAATCCTGAAGACAAATATAAAACTTGCCCAGCTTTCTAAATAACTGTGAGGTTGATAGGAAAAGGCAAATAAACCTCATCAATTAGCTACATAAAAATACAGATAAATATAAATAGAGGATAGTGAAGGAATTGAGGGAAACCTCTTGGGCTGTGTTTACTATCAATTTTCAGTTTGGGTTCTGTTTCTGAGGAAGAGGATCTTAGGGTGTCAGAGAGCAATAAATACTCAATTTGAGGTCAGTGGTTTGAGAGCTGTACAAAGAATTGGGTTGGGATCCAATTAGGATCCAGAGCCCTGGTAAGTGAAGATGCAGTGACATCTGCTGTTCACTTCAAGAAATTGCAACTCATTTCACTTGAAATAGGAGGCTAAAGCCACTAGCAGAATTAGCAAGACTCACAGGAATGGGCATCTCCAGACACACTTGTCATTAAAGCAAACGTAAATCCTCATGCAACTAGTACCATAAAAGTTCTACCTGTTGATTTAACATGTAAGCCAGGATATGCAGTGTGCCACTTCACTTAGAAATGTGGGACAGTGACAGGTGTGGTGGGTCAGACTTTCACTCAGAGCTCTAAGTCACATCTCATACATCAGTATGATGTGAGCCTTAAAGAACAACTCAATGGCAGGCAGCCTGAGGAAGAGTCATTCCATGCTCTTCTATCCTAGCTTTCTACCAAAAGCAACATTCCTTTACTGTTCTTTATTCCCAAATGAATATGCTTTGTTTCACAGGACATTAGTTCATCCTTGTTGTCCTCCACCCATCTTGCTTTCAGTATGTGAGACTAATGACACTCTCCCCTACACACACACTGGCTTTGAGAACTAAATCATCTTTAAGGTAACTCATTGGGCCTTATCATACTTAATTTACCACATTCTATTCACCTTGGCTATTTTGCTAGACTGTTCACATACATCTAGTTGCTGTAAAAGAAATGTCACTTAAGAATGATTATATAAATACTAATAATAAATACTCCAGTTCTGATCCTCCAAAGTTCTTACTGTGGGGGTATTAATGAACAGCAAAACATGCCTTCTCCACTATACAACGAGTCATCTAGGCATCTTCTCTAGACCTCGAATTTCTGAATGTGCTCATCCCATGCAGTGTGTGTGTGTGTGTGTGTGTGTGTGTGTGTGTGTGTAATTAAGTAAATAAAAAGGATGATAAAGATGAACCAAATAAGCTTGTTTCAGAGAGGTTGGCCACTCACAACTCTTGCTTTTATTACGGAGATGAGAACTACCAGCCAGATATTTTATTATATCTGATGATAAAATCACAGCTGTGAGCAATCTTAGGGGCCATCTAATGGAAAATGTTTCATTTTCTAGATAAAGGATCTGAGTCTGGAGGTAGAAGAAACTGGCCCAAGAACTCCCAGCTCTCAGTAAAAAATTTTAAACTTGTTTCTTCCCAACAGCAACTTGGGAAGCATATCCAGAGAATTAAAGCTAAGTTAAATCAGTTCCACTCCCCAGGCCATTTTACCTACAGACATTATGTTATTTGGCATCAATATCAAATAAGTGAGCAATCAGGATGTCCTAGAAAAGTAATTAAGGAAGCAGAACCAAGGGCCAAGGCTACACAATCAGGGATTAGTACGCGAATGGAGAAACTTATTTTAGAATATATTATTTTAAGGTGAGTTTTTAAAGCTCCTGGTACAGAACTTTGGAGCTAGAAGGTACTATAATATTATTTGAACAATTTGGTAACCAAAACCAATACCAAAGTATTGCATTATTATTCAAAGTGTAAAATAAATATACATGACTCCATAGTTATATAAATGACTAAATAGAGTAGAAGAGAGAAACTTCCTTATAGAAAACTAAAAATATTATATACAGATGCTCCCCCTTCCAAGAGGTGGGACTTAATTCTATATATCCCCCAACTTACCTTGAGGGCAAGCTAAACTTAATGATTCATTTCCAAACAATAGAGTAGGAAGCACAGTAACTTTACAGTGGAGAACTACTTGGTGATAAACTACTTGACCAAGTGATCATGGTTAACATCTCCAATGAGGTTATACAAATTTCAAGTATTCCATAAAATAAATAAACATACTTTACTTCCCCACTGTGTATTCTTCCCCAAAACCATAACATCAGTCTAATCACAAAGAAAATATCAGACAAGCTCAGATTGAAAGTATTATAAAGGACATTAGATGGTATTACTCAAAACGATCAGAGGTTATGAAAAACATGGAAAGACTGAGAAACTGTCACAGACTAGAGAAAACAGGGAGACACAACTAAATATAGTGTGGCACCTAGCCTGGATTCTTGAACAGAAAGAGGAAAACTGACAAAATCTAAATAAACAGTAACGTTCCAATGTTGATGTCTTCACTCTAACAAGTGTGTGCTGGTTATGTGTAAGATGCTAATGATGGGAGGAATTGGGTATATGAGAACTCTCTATCATCTCTGACACTTTCCTATAAGTCTAAAATCAGTTCAGAGTAAAATCTACTAAAAAGAAATTAGTATAGCATTAAAAATAGCATTTTCAGGTATTAAGAGGGAAAGCTGCAACACAGCCAACACAAACCATTCTGTAGTGAACTGACTACCAAAGGGGAGGGCTTTCATCCGGCAGTGGGCAGACAGGTTGTAGGAGGGCAGGAAGGCAGGGCCTATCACATGCTCAAGTTCTTCAGAGGTCTCAAAAGCCCAACTTATCAATCCTACAAGAGTCACTCCTATCTACAGGGAGATGGCTCCTTTCCAGTGTCACTCCTCAGCAGAGCCTAAGAAAAGGGCCAGTTAACAGTCATCAAACAGGGCAACAGTACACATGAACCATCACCTTGATATGGATGTTGGGCTGAGGCGGCCTAATTGTAGTCTACCTCTGCCTGCACAAGGGGTCTTCAGAAGCCACAGTTAAGCAAGCAAGAACTGTGGCATAATAGGTTTCACTTGGTCTGGGCTCGCAAAGAGGACTTGAGAAAGCACCACTTTCAAAAATCCAGTTTACAGGAAGCTTCAAAGTAGTTCAAACTATGGCTAGGATTAAAATGTTGCAGGCTTCTGATGTGGAATAAACTGCCCACCGCCCCCCCTCCAAAAAAAAAGTACAGGCTTCTGATGTCTAGAACAATAGCCTTGGGCTTATCCTCAGGAGCTGTGAGTCAAGAATGCTATAACACCAGTAGTTATATGCTTAGTTGGCATATACATGGAAGATTACCATGGAAGCCACTTGTAGATTTGGAGGTTGGGGACTCAAATCCTTCCTAAAACAACTCATCTTCAAAGCACAACAGGAACTTCACATTTCCCTAGGATTAAGAAACAACCGGTGTAGCTCCTGCTGGGTGGCCTCTCCCCTTGGAGAACAAGAGCCAGTGTACCCTGTGGTCAGAGAGAGACCATCCAGACTACAACTCTTCAGATCCATAAGAGATAAACTCAGGGGGCAGACTCAATGAACGCCAAAGCCCCACTGATGCAAGTCTTGCCCCATAAGTGTGTCTCCAACACAGAAGTTCTCCCATCATAGAACTGATCTCACAGCCAATTGGCCTGGAGGTCAATTCCTCCCAGTGATACCAGTAACAATCAAGGCTTAACTACAATAAGTCTGTGCACGAGCCCACAGGGTACACTGGCTCTTGTTCTCCAAGGGGAGAGGCCACCCAGCAGGAGCTACAGAGAGATCTGCAGATTTCTCCTCTCTGTTTGGGGTTGGAGGTGCCCAGATGAGGCCAGCTGTGAAGCAGTGCAAGCTGCTGTGGAGCCTTGGGTCTTCTTTTAGAGGCTCTAGGGCTCTTTGATCCAGCTACAGTACATTAGGTTTCAGATTGCAACAGGGGTGCAGCAAGAGCGTCCACATCAGGTAATTAGGAAGGCTGAGCCACTGGGCCCTATAGAACACCTACCACACAAAGTCACTCTATCAACACAGGGAAGCAGCCAAAATACGGAGACAAAGAAACAGGTCACAAATGAAAGAAATGGAGGAAAGCAAACTACTGGATATAGGGCTCAAAACCATGGTTATAGGTTACTCAAGAATCTTCTAGAAACT